AACAAGCAATAGATAGTATACTAAAAGCTTGCAAGACCGAGCAATATAGCAGATAGATTAGAATGGATAACAGAATAATCCTAGAGAAAATTGCTTCACTTGTTAAGCAGAAAGGTATCAAACTAGAGCTTGAAAGGTTAAAAGCTATACTGATAACAAATAAAACAACAAAGCAGATTAACTGGCAAAAGAAAGCAGAAATTCATACGTAATTCTAAATCTTGACAAAGTCAAAAATAAAAACTTTAGCTATGACATAGCATGGAAATCAAACAGAATTGAGTGCTCAGTTAAGCAGTTTGTTACTAAGCTAACAAAAAGTATCAACGATGCAGAATGGGTATATCAAAAAAGGAATGGGCAAAATGAAAGTTCAAAGTATAACTGGAAAAGGCTAAAGCAAAGAATTAAAAAACAAAGAAGAATAAATTGACTTTCAATGAAAGACAATAGACGTCTCATTTTACAGATTAAATACTTAATAAATTGCTTTCTAATACTCAGCGAACTCAAGAAATGAAAATCAGATCTATACAAAAATGACTATTGCATTCTCTGCAAAAAAGAAACTCCTGAAGATTTCGACTATCTGTTCAGATGCTTAGCTCTACAAGACTTATGGAAACAAATAGAGGAGGCAGTAATAGAAGATATTAACAAGCTCTTAGTAAAGAAAAATGATAGCCTAGTTGTGTTATCAAAAATCAAGGAAATTGTCTTTTCAAAAGATGAAGAAAGTCAATAACAGAGAAAGAAAGAGCTCATAACTGGCTTGGAAGCAAAGGAAATAGCCAAAGATCTCAAGTTGCTAGCACAGGAAAAAAGTATCACAAGAATCTGACTTGACAGTATCTTCTTTATAACCCAAAGAAGCTTTTCAGAAATTATATGAAATTGGTGATGTGAGAAAGTAATTCTTTGAGAAAAGAAAGAAAGAATTACAGCTAAGTCAAAAAAGAGCAAAACGAAAAAAATAAAGCCAAAAGCGAGAACCCTAGTGAATGAAGAAAGAAAAAGGTTACTAGCAGAAAAAAGAAAAGAAAGAAGAAGGAAAAAGAAATAGATAATAACTTTAGTAGAAGACGTATTTAAAAAGGAAATCAAGGAGAGTAGTTCAAGTTAGTAAAGTTTTTTTTAAATTAGTTAGACTAATTGTTCTAGTCATCTGACTAGTATAACAGGTCATACCTGAGCACTCTAGAAGCAGCCGAGTGAGGTCAAACTTAGAAATTAGGTAAATTTTTTTTAATCAAATGTAACTTAGCTACAGCTCTAGTTAACAACTTAATAAAGTTTATGATATTACTATCAAAGGAAAAAAAAAAAAAATATTTAACTATATAGGTAAGAAGTTATGATAAACTAGATAAACTCATATAATAATACTGATAGGAATAGAATAAATTAGTCTAAACTATAGGCTAAATTAAATCTACTTTATAGCAGATTGCAAATAGATACTAGTAGAGTAACTATTAAGTCTTATCATCGATATTCACACATTTATATATACTGCCTTCTTTGATTATTAAGTTAGGTATATGAACTCTTATAGTTTTATAATTAAATTAAATAAATGATAAGGTATAGCTTGCTAAAAAGGGAAAAAAAATTAAAAACACTTTAAATACTCCAACATACAAATTACTTTTTTTAGATAAAATATATAATTTATTCTTCTTATAATCAGAGCTATTAGTACTTCAGTTAACTTAACTTCATTTAATCTAAATAAAAATTTAAAATATAACTTCAAACCAGATCATCTTTTTGAATTCAACATTATCTCTTAACAATTTTTATATAACAGATTAATTTCTTATCTATTTTATATACTATTTCTGTTTAATTATTAAAGATAATCTTAAGATAATTAATAGTCTTATTTGAGCTAACTAAAATAGAAAAAGGTCTAGTGATCTTAGTGTATTGTTAGATTATCAGACTGCTATACAATAGGTCTAGAGTTCAAATCCTACTGTTAATGAATTTGAATAATTATCCAGATCTTTGTACTTAACTTACAATAAACTCTGTTCATTTCTAGGAGTTACAACTTTATAAATCATATTATACTAATGTCAATTAGATATTAGAAGTATGATGCAATATTCGAATTATATTGTACAAATAAATCTTAATAGGATCTATGAACAGAAAACCTGCATAATAGAAATTCTGAGTTTGGTGAAATAGTACAGATTTTAATGGTCAAGCTAGTTGATACTTAATTCAGATATAAGATTAATAGATGCAAGTAAGACTGTTATGAATCTGCAGTCTGGTGCTGACTACAAATAGCAATACCAATTTGGCTTGGTAGCTAACTAGATTGAGAAGATCTACTTCATGAAACATCTAGCTAGAACTTAAAGAACTATATCTAGTAGAGAGTTATAGCAAGAACTGAATTCATATGAATATTAACAAGAGTTTAAGCCAAGTGAATCTATGAAATAAGCATATGACTACTCTAGTAAGAATTACTTCTGAGATTAACTGGAGCTCTGCATACTCACAATATGTTAGGCAATATGCATTCCAAGAGGACCTAAGCTATACAGTAAATAGATCTGTGTGTAAGTCAACTAGTTTAAGTAGTCAGATATAGCAATAATATTAGTTTGGGATAAGGAGAAGAGTTAATAATAAGAGTGTTTAAATAGATAACTCATAGACGAGTTGCAGGTATAGTAGCATAGTATAGAACTAACAGATAGTTGATTGTCTATATAGCAAATTATTTAAATTAGACAATGACTAAAGTTGTATGTGTAGTTTGTTATATACTTATCATGTAATTATAAAACCTTAGAAAACTATTCATATGATAGTTCCATAATAACAAACTAATAAAATCTAATCAGCTAAAGAAGTAGTTTTAATAAAAAAAAAAAAAACTAAAATAGGATTCACAAATAGTCCTATAGCAAAAAAGATACTCAGTAGCCATCTATTTTAACTTATATTTTATTTGAAGAATATCCTTTATTTTTAAGCATTAATCCTAACTTTTTCAAACTAAAAAACTTCAAAGTTAAACTATTAGTAAACGAACTATTTACCTACTTAACTTTATATTCTAGAAATCTAACAAAATATAATAATTATCTTTGCTCATACTGTCTATTCTCATCTGAAGATAGTGCTCACTGTATCTTATACTTAAGAAATACTACTACAATAGATAGTATAACAAGTAATATGATATCAGCAATCTCAGAAGAATTTTAAATCTTTTCTACTTATACTAATAAGTTTGTTTTTGCTTTTAAACAGATCTACATATAACAAAAATTTTCACTTGACTTCATAACAACAGAGATACTAGCTTTTTTTGAAAGATATACAGACAAAACAAAATATATACTACTACTTTATTATCTTATTATAAAACTTATATATTATGAAATTTAGTTATCTTCAAGACAAATAACATATTTTTTAATTTTTTCTATCTCAAATTCACTTCCAATAACAATACATATTCAGACTACCTCTATATTTCTGAATTCTATTTTAAACAATATAGCTCAATATATTAAAATTAGATATTCTTCTATTTCTTTAATATATGAAGACTTGAAATCTATAACTTTTTTAACATAACTTAGGTCAAGAGTAAATTAGCATTTATCTCTACCTCCCTATTTTCAATTAACTATATATATACTTGTAATATTATATGGAGACCTCTATAGCAAAAAGAGACATTAGACCATTTTAAATTTCAGTCTTTAAATGAGTATATTTTGTGATCTAGTAATTGAAATTAAATGTTTTTATATCATTTAATTCATCTTATTAAGATGAATTGAATGATATAAAAAATATTTAATTCCAATCAGTAGATCACAAGATATACTTATTTAAAGACTGAAATTTAAAATGGCCTAATATTTTTTTTTGCTGTAAGGATTCCCATATATTCTTTTATTAATATTAATAAAAAGTTAAAAAATAGATCTCGTTGTTAAAAAAAAAAATAATAAATATTATATAATAAACTACTATAGTGATATAATATTCTACTTAGATACTATTAGAGATTCTTCTTCTGTATCTTATATTGTTTGTAATATATTTAAAAAACTATACTACTTGTAACAATATGTAACTTAGCTATAGCTATAGTTAACAATTTAATAATGTTTATAACATAACTATTAAAAAAAAAAAAAAAACAAAAAAGTTGAAAGCATGGTATCTCAAGACATACCTTAAAGACATAACTAGAAAAACATATCTAGAATATGTTTTTTGACTAAAAGATATATTTCTATTTTTTTATATAAAAAAACCTTATATATATATAAAGTTTTGTCGATTTGGTTGATTAATTACAATATTATAATTAATTTGATATAAGGATATAAGTTAGATTAATCAATTATAATATTTAAAGAAAATATGCTTAAAGCATAGAGAAGCATGCCTTTGACAAAGACATGCTCTTCTAGGTATGCCCAAAAAATTTTCTATACTTCTTTATAATACTTTTTTTAATACTTCTTTTATTATTTCAGTCAAGTTTTTTAGTTATTCTAGTAATATTTTTTTGTTAATTTAGTAATGTTTTTTTCATCTTTTTGGTAGTGTTTTTTTATAATTTAGCATATTTCCTTCCTCATTATAGTAAAGCTTCATTTGTTATTTTGTTTTGTATAATGTTAGTTTTTTTTATTTTCATTTGTTAAAGTATATATAGAAAATGGTATTACAAATAACTTTCGTTATATAAATTCTTTGGGCTAAAAAAAAAATTCTTTACTATAGTTTATAACGAGAGACACCTTATTATATCGAGTTAAAGTTTAATAATACTGTAATTTAAATTCTTTATATTATATCGAAACTTTACTATATCGAGAATGACTTTTACTAAAAGAGAACTTGAAAAAGCATAAAATATTAATTAACCAATCATATTGCAAGTTAACTGGGGTTTAGATTTAAAATCATAAACCTGGGGTCTAGAATAAAGCAACTCTTCAAACAATATGGCAAGCAGTCATGCAGAAAACAAGTCACAAAATAACGCCAGCATTTGCAAATTCTTCCTTCAAAATCGCTGTATGTACGGTGATGCCTGCTGGAATAGACACGAATTGCCCGATACGTCCGTTAACAATGAAGTGGAAACCAAAAAGAAAGAGAAACAAAAAGAAAACGAGGAGAAAGAAGAAAATATCTGTGCAATCTGTTATGATGTGCCAAAGAAATTTGGTCTGCTTGGTATGTTTACTGGGATCTTATATTATATATATTTTTTTCACTAAAAGGCCCATTGCTTGATTTAAATTGCTTTTGACCATGTTCCAATCATGCGAACTTGTAGTGGCAATTTTAAACATTTAATATGCTATATTGCCCTAAAATATATTTACAATTTAACAATGTTTTATCGTGAATGTTAACCATTATTATTTTTTAAATCAGTATCTTGTGACCATGTGTTCTGTCGAGGTAGGTTTCTTAAAAGTAATTGTTGTAATAAATTTTCCACGAATATTACAAAGATAATTACCGAGATTAAAATAATTTATAGACTGTATAAAAGAGTGGCGCAAAACGGATAACATGTCTACACCCTTTCAATCTATCGACACAACTAAAACATGCCCGGTTTGTCGAAAGAATTCACCCTATATTGTACCTTCATCCAGCTTTGCGAAATCAGGACAAAAAAAGGATGAGATCATTTTATCGTACAAAAAACGAATTTCTCAGATTCCTTGTAAATATTTTCAAGAAACTAGGAAATGTCCATTTGCAGATGCATGTTTTTATAAACACGCCAATCCAGATGGATCTAGGTGTAGTTTAGGTCCACCCAAGAAAAAAAAGCCAAGAACATGCACTTTAGGAAATTTCCGGTACTTGGAAGTTACTGGAGAAGGTAATGGATTGGATATCAGGACCATCTCAGAGATCCTTGGTGGATTTTCAATGAATCGCAGTTTCCACCACATTTTTACAAGAGATTGGGATAATTGGGACGATGAAATGGATTTTGAAGAAGGACCTACTTGGGATGATGATTTTCCATTCGAAGATCAGCTTAACGAAATCGTTTCATTTGGACCAGATGATAATGATGCAGATGAACTTCCAGAAGGTGAGGATGACGATAATGGCGGTTGGGGTGGATCAGGTGAATGGGGAGGAACCTGGGAGGACATTGAACAAGAAACTACAGCTTTTCCGGATATTTATCCACGAGATTGGGTTATTTGAAAATTTACACCCTTTTTTTTTTCTTTTTTTGTAAACATCGAATTTTCTCGCCTTATTTCAATATTTTTTTTTATTGCTCTTTTTTTGATATCAGTTTAAAGATTAATTAATTCACTGAATTGTGGTTGCAATTTTTCTTGGAACTCTATTTTTTTTTTTCTTAAAGTGTGCTTATTACTTGACTCTTTATTACGTATAAGAAATTTACATTAAACTAGATAAGTAAATGATAATCTATAATAACTCGGAGAAATTTGTTCAATTATTATATTTATTAACTTATTGTGGTTAGTAAATGAAATGAAAAGTTAATTATACATTTAAATTTTTTTCTAAAAATCAAATTCATAATTCGCGAAGGTATACTATATGTTAACGCGTACTTGCATGTGTACCCGTTATTAACATCTGATCGTTTAGTATTTTTAATAAATGGTTAATAGGTGATTTTACATTTCACATTTTTCTAGGGTGAGTCGAGGGTTATTTAAAATATGTAATTCCCAGGTATCAAAATTGATGTGCAAATTTTATTCGTTAAATTACTAAATTAAAAAATTTGTTATTAAAAGTCGTTCTAAAAAAGGAATATACCATTGTCACTTTATAGGTAAATTGTTGCTATATATCTGACACTTCTAACATTTCTGTAACCACAGCCTTATTAAATTCAATAGGATTATCAAGGTATAAATGGTGGCCAGCATCAGGGATTACAATGACTTTTGTCGGAACTTTCATATTTATTTTGGCCTTTACTGCGGCACGATAATCCATCCAATCATAATCACCATCTAAATAAATGGAAAAGATAAATAAAGAGTTTCAGATGAAATTCCGAATAATTATAATTCGATAAAATATAATGAATTTCTTTGTAAATTAAGACTTTTTTCAGATTTCACATGTTACTGACTATAATATGATATTGAAAAAAACTTACACATAAATGTGGCCGGCATTTTCAATTCTGGCAAACGATTAATTAATGGTTTTCGAGCAAAAGCACCGGGTGCAAGAATTCTGGATAAAGCAAATTCACCACTTCCAGGTGCAGAAGATATGTGATAAAGATAATCATGCAAGTCAAAGCGATCTTGTTCATCGAGATGAGCAAATCGACGAGTTGTGTATTTATTGACTAATGAAGGACCAAAAGGACCAGCCCACCTCATAATCAATTGTGGCGTAATATCAGCATCCCATAACCTAACCAAAATGTTGGACATAGTGCGACCAACTGCAGTTCTTATGATTTCTGTGCCTTGCTCATTAGGATTTGTGGGAATTCCGACAGGAGAAACCAGTATTAGACGTTCCACGCGATCAGGATACTTTAATGCATATACAGCAGCAAAATAACCACCCAAACTGAGAAATAAGAGTTGTTAGTATTGCATAAATTATTAATAATACGTATTATGAATTTAAATGGGTACCTATGGCCTAACAAAGTCATTTTTTCTATATTATGTAATTGACGCCATTTTTCAAGAGAATCCACGAAAAAATTTTCGGTTTCTTCGACAGATTCATCAAATGTATGAGATTTTATGGTAAATTTGGGACGTGAACTTCTACCCATACCTAACCAATCAATACTATAAATTCTCCATCCAGGAACTTGACTAAGATCATGATAGTTTCTATAAAAGAAACCAAGGCCAGCACCATAACCATGACAAATTACAAGATTTTTTGTAGAAGATGATGGTTTATCATTAATAGTAGTAGTATGCGATTGAACAGAAAGTTGGGTTTGTGATATAGGAGAATAACCAAGCTCATTAGTAATCGAAGATGATAATTTTTTTGATTGAGCAACTTTTCCATTTTCAATGACGA